GTTGCCTCCAATGGCAAGTGTAGTGAGTGTCTTTATGAAAAGTGAAGATGAATATGAGAGAGACATAAAGAGACAACGGCGATTACAGTGTTATGTCGTAGTGTATCAGCCAGATTCTGTGCCCCACCATTTCCAATGTTGTTTTTTGCAAGGTTAAGCGAGGTTAAGGTCTGTGAAAATTGAAGGTTCATATCAAACAGAATTATAGAAAACGGAGATTACCGTATTATTACGTAGTAAATCAGCGAAATATTGTGCCCCTGCATCTCCAATTCGATTATCTGAGAGATTGATCGTAGTAAGTGTCTGTATGGAAAGCGAAGACGGATAAGGGAGATGTAAAGAGAATGAGAATTACGGTATTATTTTTTAGTGCATCAGCAAGATTTTGTGCCCCTGTATCTTCGATCTGATTATGTCCAAGATCGAGTGTAGTGAGTGTCTGTATGAAAAGTTAAATAGATATGAAAGAGCAATAAAGAGATAACGGCAATCACTGCATTGTTTCGTAAAATATTAGCCAAATACTGTGCTCCTGTTTTGGTGATATAATTATATTGAAGGTCGAATGTAGTTAATGTCTGAGTCAAACGAGAATATGAATATGAAAGAAATGGAGAGAAAATTACAATTACCGTATTGTTTTGCAAAGCGTCAGTTATATATTTAGTTCCTGTGTCTCGGATTTGACCCCATAGAAGTTCGAGCGTGGTGAGTGTCTGTATACATCGAAAGAGCGGATATGAAAGAGATGAAGAAGAATGAGAATTACCTTGTTATTTCGCAGAGCTTCAGCCAAATATTGGACACCTTCAATCCCGATTTCATTGAGGTTAAGGTTGACTGTAGTAAGTGTCTGTACGAAAAACCAAAGATAAGACTTCTCTGTTTAAAATCCCTACGATTATCCATTCAATGGTTTAATTATCAATTTTTGAAGAACAAGCTAGGAACGTTGTCATCCAAAATTCATTCCTTACTCATGACTGATACAATCGAAAGATTGTTTAGAAATTATAACAAAACTGCATAAAGATTTGCTAACTGTGTATCAGATAGAGCATTTTACTCAAGTCAATAAAATTAATATTTACAACAGACAAATAGTTTTTGTCAATTGATAGAATAACTTTTTATACATACCTCTTCTTGATTTACATCGTCCGTATTATTCGCTGACCGCGCAGTCAATCGACTGGTAGTATCCAACGACGATATTACGCATCGAATCGAGATTTCCGAATCAACTATGCAAATTGGTATCGTATAAAGCCTAATTAGTTTTAATTTTAAGTCATAATCACAAGTAACAGGCCAATATTTTTCTTCGAGCCAGAATGGTGATCGATACGGAGCGACATACGAGTTGAGACTCTGAGCATAAGATTGTCTCCAAAGATAAGATGTGAAGAAAAATTGAAATATGTCGAGTAATTGTAGTTTAGTTTGAATAAATTCTTCCCAAAAGTGTCCATCAAATATAGAGTCAAATATTGATCTTTTGGAAATTAATTTCAGATGTTGAAGTGAAGGTGTTAGTAAAATAAACGATTGAAGATCATTGATTGATAGATGACAATCAGTTATTGTCAAAGATACTAATTGTGAATAATAAGGAGAGACAGAAGATGACAATATTGTTCTATCGGTGTTATTCATAGTGCAAACTTCGAGTACGAATGTTCGTAAATGATCCAAATGTTGGAGAATAAAATAGTATTCTTGAAAGGTACAAGTTCTAATGGTCAGATGTTGTAATGCACACTGAGCTGGCCATGATATATGATCAATTATATTATCTGAATGATTCAGTTGTAACATTCGAAGATTAGATTGAGCAATAATTGTTGAGAGAAGAGCTAATGTTTTGTTATCCTTTCTTATACGCGATTGAATCAAAAGTGAAGTTAAAGAGTAGGTGATGATATCTTGTAAAAATCGATTCAGGTCAACATCGTCAATCTGATGAAAAGTCAATGAATAAAGTCGAGTAAAACGATGAATGTCGAAAGTTGAGAAGAACAAATTGATTTGATTTGGTTGTTGCCATGAGTTACGAGAAAAAGTCAGCGAAATTATGCTTTCCGGTTGAATGAGATGAGAAATGAACTTGGCATCGGATTCTGAAAGTGAACTGAAGTCGAGCTTAATTCGATTGTAAGTAAGAACAGCTGCATGGAGTTGTTTACAGACACATCGAAGTGAACGGAGAATAATCTGAACATCGAAATGATCAAAAATACGATGGAGAAGCTCGACAGGTAGAGTGAGAAGTGGTGTTTTTGACATCGATGTATATTCAATCGTTTTTGAATCGATTTCTCGTTCTGAATATGTTTGTTGTCCTAGAATTACAACTTAAATCAAATTTTTTTGAAAAATACATTAGTTAAGATATGATTTGGACGTGTAAAAAAGAACAAGTTATAATTAAAATATGATTCCAATTGAAATTTAGCCGTATTTCTCATTATTCATAAAAAAAAGACTCGTTACTTGAAATGGATTCTCTGTCGGAGGAAAGATAACAAAACGATTAGATGTCATTTCGTTTTTTTTTTCATTTAACTAATGACAAATTATTTAATATTGTATTTTCTCAAGTTAAAAAATAAGAATCTACTTGGATCTACAAAGAAAAATTCTATCTAGTAGTCGAATTTTTTTCGAAAGAGTTAATATTTAAATGATTCAATGAAAATATTCGCACATAGAATCAACATCGAAGAAAAGCATTTGATAAAAGTTTTATTCGATTTTGTGCTAAATTTTCTATTTTCAGCACTTCTCGATATACCTCCGAGTGATAAATAACTTAACTTACGAACAGAACACTTAATAAAATAATGTAGCTACGAAAAAATTTCATATTGAAATAATATTACTAATAAGAATCTAGTATACTTTTTCTCTTCTTTATTCACCATTCTTCTATTCGTTTATATAAAACGACTCTCCTATAGCATTTTAACGACGCAGATCTATCATTTAGAAATGGTCAAAACCGTTATTCATCATTTGTAGATAAGACATTCGTTTTATCTTTGTTAGAGATGCTCAAGGACGAAAATATATATACCCCATTGTCCGCTATCATTATCATGCAACTTTTCTCCTTCGATTTTATATGTATATTATCATGAACCATCATTAACTTGGGAACAGTCTTAGATCATTTCGTGCTCTTACAATAACAAAGTAAAATGAAATATTCTTCTCGATGATATGAAAATAAAGATGCTTGAATGTGATCATTGTCGAAATTGATACTTTTATCAGTGGTTAAATAATAGTTGAAGCCATTATATTATGTTACGATTTGGTCAAGAAAACGATTTTCGAAGATTACATTAGTATTCTCTACAAAAATACCTCGACAAGTTTTATAATTCATGGAATTTTCAAACGTAGTCAAAACGCGTCTAAACAGGTATCTGGATACGTTTAAAAGTGGCCGTCAAAGAACGTAATAAAGAGCTACATCCAAACGTGGTTCATAGATACATTTAAATGGGCGTGTACGTTATCTTTTTACACGTATTTTTCATAATATAATTATTTATATTTTCACGCAAAATAACATAGTTTATTAAATATCTACATAATAATTATTTCTATAAAATATTTTTTATAAAAAAAAAGACAAGAACTGTTTTCTGCACACCAGATCTCATTTTTTGTGTTAGACAAGCTTCTGCTTCTTTTCACATAATGACTTTCTTGTAGCAGACACTTCATCTATAACTAAATGATAATTCTTCTAGATGATCTAAGCATAGTATCGTAATATCGCTTGAGAATTAATAAAGGGTTACACTGAATCATGATTATTTTTATATTTTAGCTTTTCCTACAATGTTTGTTATTTATTCAGATATTTAACTTTTCTTTCAAGAAAAAACGTGAGTGGGTGGGTGAGCTAAAAGAAAGAGCACACCCTGATCTCTAGTTACCAGAAACTTGACCATATTCATTATTTCATGGGAAATTACAAAGTAAAATTCATATATTTGCGAGTTGCTAGACACGTACATCCCCTATTATTGATAAATATCCATATCTCAAGTTAGATCAAAAGGAACTCGAATATATTTCAAACAAAAGTCAGAACTTTATGCGCATCTGATTACTGCATGAAAAGAGCATGTGCATGAAAGTAACTAAACTTCGAGTATTCAAATATAAGGCAGGAAAATATCGGATGAGAGATGGTGACAATATGAAGCTAGGGTGTGCATGAACTAACTAGATGAGGGTGCGGGTGTTGGCATAAGCGTCGATTTGGCTTTGTGTCCATTATATATACACATCCACACTTTTTCGAATAGACTTTTAAAAAAAGATAAAATTTATTCTTGTTTAATTATCTAAGAAGTTCGTGTCTGTATAAGAAAATTCCTATTGTTTCTCAATTGAAGTCAATAAATATGAGATGTAATCAATGAATTGACGGCGATTTAAATCAATTATAAATAATGCTTTTCATCTAGATTTTTTCTTTTCAAGAAGCAATTTATCTGGAGAGAGGCACTACCTCCTTCACTCTTTATGCTAACTACAACACTGATCATAAGAATTGATAAATTGATAAATTTGTTTTTTCGTTTATATCAATAAATATAAGTAATAATAAAAACTACAAAACTAAAAAGAAAAAACTTGTTTTAGTTGTTTTTGAATGTCGCACCACTGAATACCAAAGACATTTGTAAACACCAGAGAATATTCCATGGTTTATTATCTATCCAAAATATGAAACATTTTTATTCAACATTTGTTCAGACATTTTTTTAAGCTAATTTATTATTTAAACGTTTTCTAGGCTTGTTTTGTGAGATTTTTTGAGATATCAATGGCATAAAATATATATCATTGGCCATGTCTTGACTAAATTTATTTTTGCTCATCGAAATATCGATATTTGACATCGATTTATTGAAAGGAAAATGAAAAAATTGTTCTAGAGAAAAAGAAAGTAAAATATATAAAAATATTCTATTTTATAAAAAGAAAATCTCCATACCATCTGATAGATGCATATATAAATAAGTTGATTCATGAATTTTTTGATTTTTATAATAAATAATTACATTTGCTTTTATGTTATTTATACATTGATATGGAAAATATGGAATATTAAAATAAATAAGATTACCATTTAAGATAAATTTTTTTATTTCATCAGACCATTGAGTTGTTTGTTCACAAATCATAATAGAAATATCATTTTTAACAAAACGACCTTTAAGAACAACAAATATCATTGATTCTTTATTAATTGAACCATATTTTGGACCCATATGTTCAACAGAAACATCACCATAATCTATAAAAACAAAAGAAATTTTCATTGAATGTTTTTTAAAAAATAAAAAACTAATTTGATTCTTACGTTCTGTCATTATAGAAGAATATTCTTGACCTATTTCATCTCGTTGAAATTTACCATATTCATCTCGATAAATTCGTGTAAAACGAAGCATTGATTGATAAAGTTTTCGTGATCGAATTAATTCTTTGGTAATTATATTATCTTGTTTACTTTTAATCAATTCAATCATAAAACTATTCAAAAATACATATAAATATATATATATATATATTTAAATTAACTTACGTTTTGTAACCATTGTTAAAATCTTCATTGGTTACACGAAAATACAATTGATTTGATGGACCATCTTTGAAAATGAATGCTTGATCATCATATGATATTTGACTAGTTTTATTATCAATAGCATAGAGATGTGCTTGTTTTAAAATATCGACAAGAGCAACTTCAATTATATTTATATCCGATTGGTAAGACCATATCTTAGGTATCTAAAATATAAGAATAATTTATTTTCATCTATTTTAATATAATTAATCGATGATTTACATATATAGCAGGGTATCCTAGTTCACCACCATTCTCACATCGTAAATAATGTGAAGAAATTTTACTTTCATTTTGTGTTCGAGGACGAAATTTTGAACGTGGTTGACATCTTATCTGAATTTTTTCTAATTTTATAATATCAGATTGAAGAACTAAAATAAGAAAATTGAAATAATCTGAATAAATAATTTTAAAAAAAATCAAAAAGCTTACATTTTTGTTGACATTGAAAATCATTCAACATTTTTATAGGATCACATTCTATCAAACCGTTTAGCTCTATAAAATAAATAAAATATTTCTTAAATAATATTTTTAATTTATTTTAAAATCTAAACATACCTGATATTAAATTAATCGGAATTACAGTTGTTGATTGTTTTGGATCAACTAAAAGAAAAGTTAATAAATAAAGATATTTTCTTGTTATAAACAAAGCATGTTTTACATACATTGTCGGATTTCATCGAATATCAATGGATTATTGCAGAATTCATCCAATTCTTGAGTAATACTTTCTCTAAGAATTGCATCTGAAATAAGTTATATGAATATATATTATATTAAAAAAGCTTTTTGCTTTTTCTTCATTATACTTACTATCAATAGTATTCGATCGAGTGAATGAATTATTAGTTTCAAATAGATTATCAGATGATATTAATATATCTAATAAATATATTATCAAATAACAATCTCACATATTAAACAACCATTTCAACTTACTTGATTGTAAATTATTTGACATACTGATTTTTTTATCGTGTTAATATATGTTTTCTGATTGTTGTTTAGTTTTTAAATCAGTAAGATTATTCCGATTTGGTATCCTTTTAACAGATTGATTTATTCTAGTCTTTTATTTCAACAAAATCTACACCTGGGAAATAATTCAGTTTATCTCACGTATTATATACCAAGGTTTATATTATAAATATTATATTTAAGGTCGATTTATATAGTTAAACGATAAAGTAACGCCTTCACATTGACGTCAAACAAGAGACGAAAAAAAAAGACAACAAGAGATTTTGTTCTCTTTCCTGACACATGTCTCAAATAAAACGTAGGTGAGATTTTTGGTATGTATGCTCTTCGCCGAAAAATACTTCGTCGGAAGTATCTTTTTGGCTACGGAGTGCACTCGAAAGATGAGGGTGAGGACATAATCAGTTGGATGTAGGCGTGGGTGTAAACTTTATTGAAAACAACATGCACACCCACACCCCCATGCTTTTAATTTTGGAAATAATTTTCAGTTGACATTATAAGATCATCTGATACATACACTAATTGAAGGTAGGGTGTGAGTGTGGCTATTCTTCTAAACTCAAGAATCTCATCCACTTCCATACCCACACTCACGCCTGCACTCTCAAGACCGATCATGACGAACAAATCCTACTTCGCAGTAAACGAAATGTGCACATCTGTCGAATCGATTTGAGTACAACAAGAATGTAACACATCTCGGGTATATCGGAATATATATTGATTTTATTGGAAAAAAAACGAATTTGCAAAAAAATTAAAAAATAGTCAAGTTCTTTCATACATAAATGCCGAGACAGTTTAGCAGTCCTTCCAAGCAACTTAATAGCCTCCACATCCACCACCACCACCACCACCACCTCCACCTCCACCACCACCACCACTTCCACCGGCATTTCCACCCGATGAGTATATAACAACCGGTGCAGCTATCATTGCGGAGGAGGTAAGATATTGTGATGTGTGTAATTGATGTTTGTCGATATTTTTTCCATAATCTACCTTGTAAGTGATCTTCCACTGTTGAGCTGTTTTCTGATAATCATCGAGTAAAGTGTCATTTTCAATCGAGTCATCATGATCAAGAAGAAAGGCACATAGTGCTATAGATGTATTTTGATAAGATGATGGAAATCTCATATGTGTATGCCATATTAAATCAATATCGAATGTTGGTACAATGATTTCATCTTTTTTGGCTAATTTCAAAAATGAAACATAATTTCGTACCATTTGTTCAAACGAATTTTGATTGATATGTCGCAAATTGATGGAAAAAAGATAATGTTCCTTGAATTTTTCAAGAAAATCACGTTGACAAAGTACGGCATTTGTCAGATCGATCGAAGGAACAAACGTTGAAGGTTTGTTTATTGATTCAGACAAAGCAACTGAACGATGTTTTCGATGTTGTTTTATGGTTAATCGTCGGTACCTTTTATCGATAATTTTATCGTTCGTCAATTGGTAAATACAGTCATTGTGATAGGCAATTGGATGAAGACGATGAACATGCCAGATCCAGTCGATTTGCCATGGAAGTCTCCATTGTTTATATCTCGTTCTAATCGCTTGGTGAGCCATACGTCTACAATAATCTTCGATAAAATAATTCAATGTTTCACCTTGCTGCGTCATTTCTGGATGCTTAATCACTCGACGAAGCAATAGAATATGATCAACAAAATGACGATATGATAATTTAAATGTCTTTCCATCACTTGTACGAATATTTGCATAAAAATGTGGTATAAAGAATGAATGTGAACTACCCATGTCTTATCAATGTTGTTCTTGTTGAATAACTGTTACTCTTTTCTTTCCGAATGAGTTGCGTTTAAGACTATAACAATTCAATGTTGAGGATTTGTGATTATACTATGGTCATTTAGAAATAAAATGACATATGTTTTCGTTAAGTCTTCTCAATAACAACATTGACTCAATTCCATGAATTTAGTAACGTTTTAGAGATAGAATAGAAGGTGAGAAATCAAAAATATAAAAAGATTCACCTCCTGTTTACCCAAAGGATAACTAACTGGCTTTTTCATTTTTTTTATCAATTTTAAATGAAAAACATCTATTTAATCAAGCTAATAAAAAAAACTGACTAATTCAAAAAGGTCTGGTTATGAAGGTTGTATGGTTTGATTTAAAGTATTTTCTCATAATTCAAGTCTGTATGTAGAAGTTGGTTGTTAAAAGAAGATGGTTCCTACATTCAGTGAATCAAATCTAATATAATAACTAGAAAAAGTGACACGTTTCATTTTTTCTCAAGTTTTTTATTACACAGATTTTTTTTAAATTTATAGTCAATAGAAAATAAAAAAATAAGGTGTTTGCCATCAAGTTTTTTTAATTGAAAAAATTAATTTAATCAGTTTAGTCAAAAAAAAAATCTTACTTCAACTGTTTCCTTGTTGTATGCACCACTACTACCGATGATATGCCTATCTGATGTTACATACTTGCTTATTTATATTTTCGCATAAAAAATCGAATTACTTTTTCTCTTTTTTTCTCCTATTTTCGATAGAAATACCTCCAAGTGTACTACTATCGTTGTCATACGCATATATGATTAGTCAAGCAATTTTCAAATATCGATTAAATAACTATTGAACCGTGACTACAATATAGTGAATCATAACGATAGAGAGAACAAGTCAACCTTCATGTACAAATATACATTAGGAAAAGAATTTCGGAATGTATCGAAATTTGAAAGTTAACTGTGGGTCTACGTGTGGATTACGAAAACAAGAAAGTACACAACCACATCTATACTCACATCCAAACCTGACATCATAAAACGTTTTCTCATCGAATATAAAAGTTTCTTTGATGCTCCTTACCGATAAAATAGATTCCACTTATTTGACCTATTCGTTCAGTATCGGAAATAAATCAACCCGTCCAATATCAGAAACGACAATTATCAAATCAAAACTTTAGTATGAAGCAATTTTCACGTCGATCGCAATAGCGAACAGTTTATTTGTTTACAGTTTGACTCTTCATTCTCATTAGAAGAGAACTTGTGGGATTGATGTTATCACGAAGTTCGCTTCGATCTTTATCAATTCACGAATCCAATCGAAGTTCCACAGTAAGACGCTCGGAAATAAAACATCTAACCCTGTAAATGATTCTTTCAATGATTGTTCACGAGAATACATTGAATTTTACTGTCGATCATCTGCAATTAGCTTTCCAACAATACATCGAAGATCTTGCAACATGGATTCATTTTTCATCTATTGTTCACGCTCAATCCATATGAACAATGGATATGCGAGAGATTTATTCATGGATTCTGGCAGATGGACTTAATCGACTTGTTTTATTTCGTTGTAAACACTATCTCTCCTGAATTTAGGGCGTGTGTGAGAGTGTGAGTGTCGATCTTCTTTCCACTCATACCCGTTTTCTGAGAAAATCTGGTGCTATTTACAACAAAAGGAAGGTTTCCTCGGAAATCTCTGTTGATTTGAAAATCTTCTCGAAAATCTTAAGCATATCCTTGCACTTCTTTGCATTTTTCATTTCCGGGCATCGAAAATGTTGAAAGAGTTTGCTAGAAATTCAGAATGATTTCTGAACATATCTCAAAAATCCTTCAAGGTTTTCGAATCTTCGGAGACTATGAATTGTCGGGAAAAGTCTCAAAAACTCCTTGAGGTTTATAGAAAATCTGAAGAGTATTCGACTATTTTGTTTTTTGTTATTTTTATATTCTGATTGTATAGTTTATGGATTTAGGTGTGATCCGATATGCATCACAAAAAAGTTCTTCGATGTCTTTGAAATAATTTGTAAAACATAATAACTGTTAGAATTTTAATAGAATCGTGTATTCTTGAGAGAATCTACTCTCGATTTTACATTGATAAATCTGTTGCAATATGAATAAAAATAAATTCATATTTTCTCTCCGTTCTTATTTCTTTTATATAAATTCTTTTTTCAATCAATGACTAGTTGGAAATTGAACAAAAAAATACACTGATTTTTTTTCAAGATCTTTTCATTAATATATAAATTTATTTTACAATAATGTATTAAAATAAGTGTTTTATTTAAAAAAAAAGGAGAAGATTTTAATTTTTAATGAAATAATTTGAGTTAATTTTGAATAGAAATTTTTTCGAATAAATTCAAGATTAAATTGAAAGATTTAAAAGAAAAAACTAGAGTCAAAGAAAAACAATGATATTGTTTCGATTTTCTCAAGAAAAAAAATATTTATATGAAAAGGAAAGTTTGAACATAATCTCCTTTCATATTGGTGTTGCTGTTGTTGTTCTATTCGCACTAAGACAAGTTGTTAAATTGTAATTACAATAGTTTTCAGTACAAAAACATCTCTCCATATTGAGTGATATTGTATTATTACCATCTCGATAAAGAAAAAGATAATTGATATAGAAAGAAGATGATGTTTCATTGTAGGATAATGTTATACTTGATTCTTGGTTAAATTGATATACTCTAGAAAGTGCTCCTGATAGATAATACTTGTAAGTATCTCTGGTCAATGCAGACAAAAATGGACCATCGGTGGACATTTGATACATGCATAGTAACGTATTGTTAATAGTATATTCATTACATTTTTCAATATCAATATAAGGAGAAGCAAAATTAAAACAATAGGAAGTTGTATTTAATGAATTTGATGAATCATAACAAGATATTGATCTATTCAGTTCAGGAATCATTGAAGAAAGAACTTGAGGTGTAGAATTTGTTTTCAATTGATTATTTACTGATGATTGACATGAAGGAAAATCCATATTACACATATTTGTAGCACAAATACAAAGTATTGATATATCAAATAATTCAAATTGTAAAGGTGAACAAAATCCAAAACCAATATCAGTTATATTTGAAAATCCTGTACATCTTTTAGCAATACTTTTATATATATTTGTTACTGTCGTATAATCATATAATGATCTTGATGATGAACCATTAGAAAAAAATTGATAAACACAATATTCACAGTTAGTTACCAAATTATCATTATAAAAGCATGTTAAATTAAGACGATTTAATGTTTTGTTGCTTACTGTTGATATATTACCATTAAAAAATCCTTCACTAGATCCAATCAATAACAACATTAACAAAATTATCCCAAACTTCATCTTTCAAAAAAAAAAAACAAAATAAATAAATCAGCTTATGCTACTAGTTTATAGTCAGACTTTTTCAATTGTGTATAATGTCGATAGATTTTATTTCTTTCACTTATTATAAATATATCAATCTATAGAGGTAAAATAAAAAAAATAATAAATTATACCTTTTCAATAGTTCTATTCCTTTCATATTCATCAAACTACTTTACTATTTATAATATTTATCAAGAAAAAAAAGGTCTAATGATCAGAATGACCATATGAATAAACATGAAATATTTTTAATAGTATCTGATTATTTTTGATTGAGTCTTATTCATCATCAAAAACATTTATAGAAAAAATATTCATAATTACTAATACAATTTTTTCTATTTATCAAACGATTAATTTCCCATATGAATAGGCTCATATTCTCTACTTTTATTAACTACCGTCTCAATACCGTCAAAACAGTATAAAGTACCGCTACTAAGCAGAAAGATTATACTATTTAGAGCAATATTAAATACTCTTCACTACGACAAGATAACGGCAAAGAGTAAAAAGTAATACTATAATCAGAATACATTTCCGTGCCAAACAAAACACTCTTGTCTTTCAATATAGAATTGTAAAATTTCTTTTTAAACGATTGATTAGAAAACCCATCGAATCATAGAGTTTGAATATGATATTGAAGGTTATTGTGTCAAACATTTATTTTGACAATATCCATTGAGTTTCGAAATAGTTTCGATATTCTAGACGTTAGTCCTTTTATCAATTATTCCATTTTTTCTTATTTGTTTTTCAAAAAAAACTGTTAAATTGCGTTTGTTGATAGATTATCATGTTAATACTAATTAAACCACCAGTGAACCTTGTTGAAAATGACTAGTGGTCCATTTCTAACTCTTGACAGGATATTATTAGCGCAGTGGATCGTTTACGAAGAAATCCTTGGTAACCTAGGAAACCATCTTGATGATATGAATCTCATCTGACTCTTACATTCGTTCTATACTCAGATCGATATCCACACTCACTCATCCTCAACATTTGTGGAAGCCTCCATTTGCTATAAAAACCACTTTTAGTCATCAATTATTTATTGGTTATCACTAATCGAAATATGATTCTCTACGTGTCTTTTAGTTTAAATATAAAGAAAATTTAAGAACTCTTCACTTTACATATTTGTTGTGCAATAACTCATCTAAATAAAAAACAAATAGATAAAATAAAAAAAGTTCTCTTCACTATCTTTTATAAACGAATTGACATAAACTAAGAAAAAATGCCCTTAATAATTCCAAACAGTTTCTCACTTTTTCAAAAAGAAGCAAACTCTTTAGGCTCAGACTCTATCGTCAATTCTGATCCAGTTGTTACTGTCGGCTCTTGACGTTACGATATTATCTATACGTCTCTTTATTATAATGCACCACATTTATATGCTTTCGAATACAATGGTAATAAAAAAGCATTAGCACGTCTAAGAAAGATTCTCGGTTTACATTCAGATACGGATGACAGGATCGGATTATTCATTACAAAACACAAGGAACCAGTCGATGAAGAAAGTGTCAAAGAATATGCAATAGAGATTGGTTATCATTTTTACAAATCTTATTCTATAGGACAACAAGAAACTGATCAAAATACGGTTCATTTTCATTTGTTAGAAGGTAAAATAGCAGAACTTTATGGATCCTTAGATGTTGACAGCGAAGACTGTATTCGTCCACATCAACTCATTGCTCAGTTGCCTCATTTAGTTCAACCGTGGATTTGAAAAATAATTTATCAACAAGTGCATTAGTAGCATTTTCTTGGTAGAATCTTCTCTTTTGTCGACTTACTTATATTTTTCTTGGACTGAAAACGAATAAAAAGTCCACCTACATTCTTTACGCAATGATCAACTTGTAAAGACTTTTCTTTTGTAATGATTCGACGAAAGAAAAAGTTAACTAAAGAATGTGATGAAATTATCAATAACTTAACCGAAGTAGATCGGCTCTAAACAGTTTCTTGTCGTATGATACCGTGTTTTGTTATCATTCTCAGATTGTTTTTGAATTTTTCACCTAATCAATTGATTATTGATTATGAACGAAACTAGAATTAATCATCCAATCTAGAATAGTCTCATAACAAACTGACAACACACTTTCATTTTAGTTTTCAAGATCGATGGCACTGTTCTATATAACACTGTTTTCAATCGATTAAAATATTCACTTGTTGATCGTTCTCGTCAAATCTTTTATTATATAGAGTCAGATAAGATGAAAGGGTGTGAATCTTGGTAAATAAGATGTTCACTCACATCCACATCCACATCCACACTATCGTTATTTCAAAAGCAGCATTATGCTATTCAGGCAATATTTGACAACCGTACAGAATCGTGAATATTAAATCCATTGTTGTTAACTTTGATCCAGAGTTCTATTTTTCAATCACTTAGTGACTTTCACTTTAAAACTCGAATAGAAATGTATCATTATATAATTCAATAAAGACTGCGCTCATGAAAAAGTCAAAACTCAAAGATTTCCAAAAGTATTCTATTCAAATTTCTAATCGATCTCATTGCTTATCTTAAATAATAATCATGATAGACAATTACAGAGTAATTTACTCTCTACAGCATTTATATTGACTTGCCTTTTTTGTTTTTATTGTTTCCTCAGATATGTTTCTCCTTGTGAAAGCATACTTGATTACTAAAAGTTATTTTAATAGCTATTGACGTAGCTTATTTTTTGAAAATAATTCTTTTCTATATAAAGTCAAAAAGAGAACTTTTTTTATTTTTATGATCTAATTCAAAAAATTGGAGGATTATAATCTTCGCTATTTTTTTTAACAAGTATATTAAAAAATCCTAATATTCTGAATAGATACGTTTCACAATATGATCTCGTATTTCAACTAAAAAATCCAAACAACAAATATAGCAGAATGTTATTTTTTGCTTAAATTTTCACATTTTTAATATCAATATTCTATATAAAAATGAGTAGATAATTAACCTTGAAACTTTATTATATATAAAAATGAATCACAGATTTAATTTTTACTTTATTATTTGAAACGAAAAACCTTTTTTTATTCAATTTTTTTATCAGGACTAATCATGGAATTACACGGTTTCTTACTTCAATGAAAACAACCTGATTACAATAAGAAAATAAATAACTTAGAAAAATCAATAAAAAGTTTTAGTTTTTAATTTTCTTTTACGAACGAATCTTTCTCAGTGTCAGAGAGATTTTGAGTCCTAACTATGTACATAATCTAAGTATTAATGAACTATGGAAGGAATCCTTGTTCTTAGTTTATTGCTGCGGAGATATTGAACTTTTATAGTGATTTTTAAATAAATCCCGTTGTTTCTCTCATGAATATAAGAAAATATGATTTTCCCATTTCGACTTGAAACTTTCGATAGAGATAAGTTTTAATCAGAATAGATTATTGTGAAAGTTTTTCATTTGTGGATTGTGTATTTTCTCAAATAAGAAGATCGATATTTGCCGTTGTATATGTGTAGACTGAAAAACATCCTTTTACTTCATAATAGTCGTATCTTAGGGTAGAAATAATCAAAATATCTCAAGCTTTTTTGTTAACTCTTGTCTTTATGTAAAGTTTAAAGTCAAAATTTGAAAATGAATTTGTCCTGAAGAGAATTAGAGCATTCAGTTAAAAACCAAGATGAAAATTGAGTATCTCATCTATAATTATCTATTAGTCTGAACTCTGATACCTCATTAGAACTTAGATTATACATATTATCCCGATTCAAAAGCAATTTTATACTTAAAAACATTTTCTTATTAGTTTTTCTTCAATTGAAATTAAATATTATTTTTTTTTGTTTTTTTAATTTCGAATAAAATATTGATTAAATTAATGTTTAAGTCTTTAAATCCTTAACTATTGTGATTAATCAATGAAAACTAATATTCTTAGTGTATATAGATATTCTTAACATAAGCCAAAGATTTTTTTTATAGACGAAAGTCTAAACATTATTCTATTGGTCTAAAACAAACTGAGACAATCTAGACTGTTACTAGTTGATTATATAGGATATGTATATATGCGGGTTATATTAAGTTAAACTAAGGAAATTTAAGTATATTTGTGTTGACTAATAGTATCAATGTAATATCGATTGTTATTTCTTTTTAAAATATTGAGATAAAGAAGAAAAAGCAATGATGCATTTATTTGGTTGTGTCCTTGATTGAATCGATTTATCCTTGTCATACAGTATAGATATATTATCCTTTTTTTTATATGCCTTTGAATAATAACATTTTTTCTTTGGTTTCTATTCATATTGATATTATCTTTTGGTGACATTATCAATAATAAGTAAGTGGATTTAGTCACGCCTTCTCAACGTTGAAATAAAAAATTCTAAAAAGTTTATATTTTTTTTCTTTCACTTTCATTAGTTAAATTTGTATGTTCAATTAAATAATTGAATATTATTTTAAAAATAAAAAGAATAATTAGTTATAGATTAACTGAAATAATAAAAAGAAGACGAATTTATATCTATGGATTATTTCTATGAATCTTAAAAATTTTATTGAAAAGTTCCAAGATTATTATAATAATATAGTATTAACTTAAATTTTTCAATTTCGAGAGTAAAATTAGTTCACTTTACTTTTTCTTTTTTTTTTGATCCTATAAAAATATTTTAGTTTTTGAATAGTTTTTATCATTGAAATAATATATTAAATATTTAAATGTCAACAAAAATCAAAAAAGAAATTTTTTAGTTAAACAAAAGGTGATTCATTTTAAAATCGCATTTATTTATTGTGCTACGGATTTATATGAAGAACACTCGTATATTTAGATTTTTTGTGTAAAATCCATTTTTTTATTTTTATTCGAACGTTTAAGTCGAAAATAACATATATTAATATAGCAGAATAAAATAATATGTCCCTTAGGATTAATAATCTATAACTACAATGCGTATATCTCAATATTTTAAGGTATTGATTAAGAGACTTTTTTCCCTATTAAATAATATTCTCTAGATAATATTGGATCATAGAAAATTGGCGAATGGTAGAAGATGAAAAGTTTGTAGGAAATGATATTTATCAAAAGAATAGATTGATTGACATGTCAATATTAGTAATTAATATGTCGGTTATGAGAAAAATAAATCTTCTAATTAATTCCATTCGATAAAAAGCAAGAAGGAATATTTATTTTCTCTTTATCAACATATATTTGTTTCTTCCTATTTTAAAAATAAAATAAAACACAAGAATAATTTCTATAAAAAGTTGCAATTCCATTATAAACACCTCCATAACAATAAATAGGGTAATGCACTAAATTCTTGACTCTCATCTGAACTGTAGTCGTTATAGGAGGTTAGATAGGTGAAAGTCACCATCAACTTATTATAGATAAGACTTATATTCCTTGTAGATGTTATAATTGAAGAAAAAGAAAGACTATTGACTTATCCAAAATATGATTGGATTGTACTTTACTCGAACTATCTATCAGAAAAATTTCAATCAGTCGAAGTAAATGGTATGTTGATCACCGTTCGATTCTTGTCAAAACTTTAGAGACTTTAATCATTAAATAAATCTATTTAGACTTTTAAATAAACAAAGATGATATATTAGTCTTCTATTTTATAGTAAAATCTCTCTTTATTCAATATTGACAACTGAATTATTTTATGTTCTATAGAAGTGACTAATGAATCGAAAATATTTTCCTATTCATGTCTTTTTTCTATGTTCAATAAAAACATGAAAATAGGATACCTATCAATTTTAAAACTTTCAGGAAATAATATTCAACTATGGTTGAACATCTTATGACAAAACACTGATGAATCCATCAAGTCTTCACTAAATGATTTATCTCACAATTTGTCAACGAGTCATTGAAATATGCATTGTAGATAGGTAGAGTAAACTACCAAATAATTATGTCTTCACTTAGTGAAGAAACGTTTTTGTTTTTTGTGAATTATAATATCCACAAGGAACATTATTTCTACCTATAATGAGTGCATGTTTATTCGAATAACTTCAGCGCGAGTAACACCGGTCATTAGAACTTATCTTAGAGAATATCCACAGAAAATTTCATCAGTCTAGCTTTTAATTATGTCTGCGATTCAGATAGAAGCTGGAAGAGGATGAGGACTCTTGGCCAGTACCATATATATGATTTCAAAGAATCTAAAATCACACAATCTTTCTGTGTTCTTCAATTCCTAATTTTTCTATTGATCAATGTCATCTTAAGTAGCTTATTTATTAATAATGCAAACTACAATTTACCATCGGTTGAAACTTCTAGTTCTATAATCACTATTTATTCATGAGTAGCCAAGTCAGTGATTTCGACCGTGTCCAAACATTTTTCGGCGTCTTTCCTTCAGAATTTGTTCAAGTTTCTGCAGTAACACGCCAGAGAAAACTATGAGCTTGGAAGAAATATTCTGCACTCTCTTTGAAAACCCTAGAAAACTCGACGGAACAACAAAATGACTCGGTTGGAAACAAGTTGAAAGGATCCGTATCCAATCCGGTATAGAATGCAGCGCAACACTCATCATATCTCGATATCACGATGATAAATTCCGAATAAATATCTATGTCGTAGAACATGATCCGTACAAATCATTTCGAAAGTATCATACAACCGCAAGAAAAGCTAATCTTTCCTATAACTCATAGAAGTATAACGGCTGAATTTATCTGACAAAAAAAACTTAATACTTTTTCTCATTTTCCATGACGAACCCTGTACTCAACTAAACCGATATTCTTTTTCGGATTAAAACATGAGAAAAGATTATTTGAAACAACTTGAAAAGTAAAAAGTGCAGGGAGTGTCAAGCCCTTTTATACTATAAAAGTGACCATAATAATCATCAAAAGGATAAAATATGCTCACTTTTTATGGTCAACTTTCTAATCTCTTCAGGAGAGCTTCATTTTCGCAGCAAAAAATGCAAAAAAAAAATGATTTAGAAGTATTTTGGAAGAGAAGAGCGTATAGGGAAGGACAAGGCCTGTTATATTAGAAAAGTTACCGTTTTAATCACGAAAATAAATTTGATGATTCGTAGTAGACTAGAAAGTGAAGAGTGTAAGACGAAACTAAACAATCCGAGCCGTATCCTTTCGCCGTTATAGATGAATATATCGATAGTCAGTAACCGTGTCGGAAACGGCGGCTGGATCTCTACATCGTTTCTGAGTGTAGGAAGTGATGAAAATCGAGCAGAAAACTGAGGCTGGAACCGATTTTGGATCCAATCGCCGGAACGCATTAAAATGGTTTCCATATAAATGTAATGTACACAACCAAAAATTATCGAATTTATGAGTATTAACGTGTTTATGCCGAAAACCTGAAAAAAAAAGTTTTCCTACAAATTTTCATAATGACTTTGACGTTTAAGAAAAAGACTTTAGTTAAAAAAAGTCAAATTGAGGATACTTTTGACTGTGAACAATGAATTAAAAAGCAAAAAAATCTAAATTGTTGTAATGAGTTAATTTTATATTTGTGACCGAATGAATAATAGAATTATCTTATTATTTTCCTGTGTTTATTTTAAAGGTTAAACTAGAGATGATTGAAATGCAACCTGAACAAGAAACTGCCCATGTGGTTATAACGAATGTCTCTAACATGTTTGCTCCTCAATCATTGTCACTAGATAATGATCCTAAAATACAACGAATTCGTAAAATTCTTTCGATTACAATTGGTATTTTATTTGTAAGTTTTTATTTTTCTTTTGATTGTAATTGGATAATAATAATAACAAAAAAATATTCTATTTTGTTTTGTTTGAAATTTCTATTAATTAGATGATATATCTTTTATGAAAAAGATAAATTTCATTTTTATAGCAACGTGATTTTTCTCCGAATATTTAAAGAGATAGTTTCAAGCATTGTTAAAGACAAATAATTTCTTTTCAACGATGATCGATTTTCAGCAAATACTTTCTTTTTTTGTTTCTACACTTTGAACAGAAATATCCTTTTCTTTTTTTATACGGATGTCCTATTTTTCTCTTTGTAATCTTCCTATTCGCTCCTTATTTTTTATTTTTGTATTTCGTTTATTTCTTAATTTAAAATTGTTATTATTATAACCATTGAATTAAATGGCAAATAAGGCTGTTGGAAATATCCATTATATCTACAGCAGGCCTTAATCAACTATTATATACCTCGATTAGCTTAGAAATAGGGATGTAGAGCTTACGTTCATATCACCGTGAGTGCTTTTCCTTACTGGAATAGGGAAAGAAGATTACCGTTGTATGTAAAGTTTGACCAAAGATTTTCGGGGTAGAGGAATTCGCATTTGTAATCGGTTTTTTGAAATTTTGAGTTTAATTTTTTCTTTAAATATGATTTTTCAGTAAAACAACGATATTTTTGGTAAAAAAATTTTTTTCAAAAAAATCAAACTCGAAATTTCGAAAAATTGATTAGAGGTTCGAATTCTTCGACTCTGAAAACCTTTGGTCAAACTTTATAAAAAAATCAAACTCAAAATACTTCTCCTATTTGGAACAGGGAAATTGTTCACGCACATGAACGTGAACGTGAGCTGTACATCAGACTTCGAAGTCGGGTCACTTTTTTATAGATCGGTTCGGGACCGAAAGAAACTTCGTTCACAACAGTTTTTTCTCAATAGACAGTTATTCCATATTTTTCGGCTTTTATAAAAAGTGATAATCAAGGAGGGTTAGCGTGAAGAAACTTCCCCCTATCATCTTCAGAGGTGAGCCAAATATCAGAAAAAGTTTTGTCAAAAAAGGATAAAATCGTCGGGTCGGGCGGTCCGACAGAAAAGGTGGCCTGACTGGCCGTTTCAGAGTCTGCTGTACATCCGTACTTAGAAACTCTGACGTTAATTATTTCGAAAAAATCTAACTTGATCAATTGATACTTATGTTGATCATATAAGAATTGTAGGAAATTAATGCATCACTACTCAGGATCGTTGATATCTTCAACGTAAATGTATCTACACGCAAAAATCAGAAATTACATAACTTAGAAGGTGAAAAAACGTATTCAACTCATTCAAATTTGAAGGAAGGTTTCGAAACCTTTTGAATCTTGTTATTAATGTCGTTGAGTGCCTTCAACAGCGGTTGCTAGTCGTCTACATGTGATAAAATGAAAATGAAAATCAACTTGTTTCATATTAATCTAAAGATATATTTGACTAAATCAATAGTAGTCTCAATTGATCAATATTCATATTCTTAGAAAACTTGTTAACATTGATCCATAGGAATTCGAAGGATCGAGTTTTTTCAATTAATATTATATATTTTATATTTTAGGCTTTCTTTATAGTCGGTATGATAAGTGCAATATTCGGACACGGAATTGGTAATGGTATAAAAGAGACATCGCATGGTGCACAAGTTGGTCAATCTCTTATATTAGTTTTTTTCTACACTTTTGGATTATTCGTCACTTATCGATATTCTGCAACGGGTTTACGAGTGGTATGTTTTATCTATTGTTGCTTTTTTTTTTTGTAAATAAAAAATCTTATAAATAGTAAAAATCAAATGAAAGGAGAGTATGTTCGTTTTTCCTGAAATACTCCATATATATCTATACAATGTAAAGTAGAATCGAAATTATATTTAACGAATAAGTTTCAATCGAATAATCTTGAATAATATATTCCTATTAAAAATGAATTTTTAAAAATAACTTTTAGTTTGCTTGGTTGGATATAATATCAGTTAGTATGCTTATTACTGGAATATTATCTGTTCTCTTTTTGGATTTCTCACCTTCAACTACAAAGAAGTTAGCTTATGATCGTGATAGAAAAGATTTTATCAATGATCAATCATCATCTATCTATATTGTTATTCCTGGTGCAATTGCTGTTGGTGCTCTTGATGTAAATATTTTATTTCTATTAATTTTATAATTTTATTGTTTTTACTTTGTAGATAGTCATTATTAAATATGCCTTCCAATTGGCCAAACTTATTGATATTAAAAAATCTTTAGCCATTCGACAAGCTCACCGTATTCTTTATTCAATAACTTAATCATATTAATTTCTATTCGGATTTTTTTTGTGTAGTTTATCATATAGAAATTGAAATATAAATGTTAAAGATCTTTTTATTATCAATAAGATGCTAAATAGAAATATTATTTATATATTGAGATAATATTATTTAATAAACATCACTCTTTTATGTTTACTAAATCGAATAAATATAGTTGATATTATCCTATCCTATATTATTAACAAGATCAATATTATTTATGGAAATAACCAAATAAACAGAATCGATTTATTTAGATAATAAAAATCTATTAGAACGATTGTATAACAAAATTTTCTATTTTATCTTGAAGATAGTTTTTTGTTTTATTTCATTGATATATATTATTCTCAATCTCGATGATAATATAAATAGTTATCAGAAAAATAATTGGATTAACGAATTTATATTATAATCGAGAGTTTTATTATTATTGATATATAAATAGTATCTACACATAATATAATTGTCTAGAGTAACGATGCTCTTTATTCTGAATCTAGGAAAAATATCTGAGAGATTATTTTTTGTTAAATTAGCAATAACTATTTCTAATATCATTTTCTATAAGACTTCAAGTCAGACGTTAGTACAGTTAGATCCTTGATAATAGTCTCATCAATTTTGCGAGATCTGAAAGAAATCGAAAGTTTTCTTCTTTCAGAAAAATCGAACGCTAACTTTAGAAAAACATAAAAAATGAATCGAATTGATAAAAGAATGGGATAGTACAAATCGAAAACATGAAAAAAGAAAAACGAACTAAATATATTAAGTTTTTCGGTATAAAGAGATCTTATTTATAGATTTCTCTCATTAATAATATGATAAAGATTGAAATGGTAAGTACTTCCACTCGTTCATATAACCTTAAAAATTAGGTACCACAACTGTAGAATATCCGATTAATATATGCCCTCCAGACCATCGAACGATAGATGGAAAATTCGACATTGTTTATTTAGTTATAGAATGATTCTATACCAGTGATTAATAGAACGATTTTTGTTAACGGATAAATAGTGGAATTCTTAAATTCAGGAATCTTTTAAGTTTCTAGAAGTTGATCGGATTCCATAAAATTTCTTTGAATTTCCTAAGATTCTATTCGATAGTCACAACAGCTTTCGATGTTAATATTTCTGTTTCTTATTTTATTTTTGTTTGTTGATGAATTGAAGATTCAGGTAGGCAAACACATCCTATACTAATTCTATTAGGATGAGGAGATCGATAAAAACTTTTTCTCCTATATTTTAACAGTCGTTTTAAATAATATTTGAAAAAATTGATTTAAACATGTCAATATTTGTCTTGGAATAAGATAATATACTTCGAAAGAAAATCGATTGATAATTTTTAGTCTGATTATTTAGTAAAACGTAGTCACAATTATTTGAATTTTTCGTCTCAACATCTATAGAAAATAAATATTTCACTTTGTTAAAATCTAAAATGTCAATTTTGTTTTGATTTACGTGAAATTGTTTAATGTTCATCTCAGTTTTTAAAAAAATTCTAGGAAACCAATGTTGATAAACTAAGTTTAGAATTTCGACTTGAAACTTTCAATAGAGACAACTCTTAATAAGAGTAGACTATTCTCAAAAGTTTTCATTTCTCGATTGCCTTTTTTATCAAATAATAACATCGATTTTTCCCATTCTATATGTGTAGCCTGAAAAACATTCTTTTACCCGATAGTCAGATCTTAGGATAGAAACAATCAAAAAACCTCAAACGTTTTTCATAAAACCTTGCCTTTATGCAAAATTTAAAATCGAAATTAAAAAATCAATTATCCTGAGATAAATGACAACATTAAGTTAAAAACTAAGATCAAAATAGAGTATCTTATCCATAATAATATTTTATTTTGGAACTCTTTTCAGGATATTGATAACTGATTAAAATCTACATGATACATATTATCCCGATTCAAAAGCAATTTTATACTTAAAAACATTTTCTCATTAGTTTTTCTTCAATTGAAATTAAATATTATTTTTTTTTGTTTTTTTAATTTCGAATAAAATATTGATTAAATTAATGTTTAAGTCTTTAAATCCTTAACTATTGTGATTAATCAATGAAAACTAATATTCTTAGTGTATATAGATATTCTCAACATATCCCAAACATTTTTGTTTTTATAGACAAAAGTCTAAACATTATTCTATTGGTCTAAAACAAACTCAGATAATCTCGATACTATTTTTGTTATATAGTATAAGTATATATGCGGGTTATATTAAGTTAAACTAACGAAATCTTAATGTATTAGTGTTAGTGATTTGTGTTGACCAATAGCATAAATATTCTTTGGGTTTGTTTTTTTCGTTTTTAAAATATTGAGATAAAGAACGATCGGTAGTCATGGATTAATTTGGTTGTATTCTTTGTTGAATCGAGTTATTCTTGTCAGTTTATATATATTCTACATATATAATTACTTTTCATTTTCATTTTAATAATTTCTTTTTTATTTGACTTCTATTGATATTAATTTATTTTTTCGTAATATTATCAATAATAAGTAGGTTTAATTCAGTTGTAGAATGTCATTTCAAACTGAAAAATGGTAAATGGGTAAGATTTTTTTTCTCTTTCGGTTTTATCAGTTAAATTTGAATATCCATTGAAATAATTCAATATTATTTCGAAAAGAAAAATCTTTATTGATTATAAATTAATTTAAATATAAGAATCATATCTATGATTAGTTCGAAGAATTTTGACAATTTTTATTAAAAGATTCTAAAATTATTATTCTATATTAAATAGTGAAATATAGTTGAATTTCTATAGATAATAAAGGAATGATACTAGTTCACTTTTATTTTTCTTTCTCTTTCTCTTTATCCTATGAAAAAATCTCCTCATTTATGAATAGTTTTTATCATTGAAATAATATATAAAAAATTTAAATGTTAACATAAATCAATAAAGAAATATTTAGTTAGCAAAAAGTGATTCATTTAAAAAGGTCATTGATTGATTGTGCTACAAATTTCTATAAATAACTCTTCTATATTTATATTTTTTGTGTAAAATCCATTTTTTTAATTTGTATTCGAAGGTTTAAGTAAAAATGAATATTTTTTGATAAAGCAAAATAAAATAAGATGATTGTTAGGATTAATGAAAGATCACTAGAATAATCATATTTCAATAGTTGAGTCATAGTTAAGAGGATTTTGTTTTCTAATAAATAAAATTCCCTAGATAATATCGACCCATAGAAAAATGATCAATGGTAGAAGATGAAAAGTTTGTAGGAAAGTATTATTTATCTAAAGAATAGATTCGTTGTCATATTAACCAAATTCGAACTTCTTTGGATAATTATTCTTG